CGTCCATGGTTGTTTGGGGGGTTCATGGTTGTTTTGGGTGGACAGTGTTGGGATATCATCTATGTGTGGTGGCTTAGGAGACTTTCAGCAAAAGAGCACAATCTATTTCATCGATCAAGATGCTCAAGGAACGCCACTTCTTCAATTCCGGACGACCTCGTTGTTCCAATTCTCGCCTTTGGGGGATGGATTCGAACTGACATGCACTCAAAGAGCCTCCTTTTCTACCACAGCGTTGCTGGATGCAGAACAAGGATGGTGATGAACATGAACATCATTCTTGAATAGTCAACCGAGGAATAACCATGCATAGTTGTCTTTTGGCAAGGTCCCTGCTTGAAAGCCATTGTTTACTGGGCAAATGAGTGTGGTGGAAATCCTGCATGTTGAGGGGCTGGTGCGGCAGAACATGCCTGGTGGCGGGACTGCTGCTGTAACCCACATGATGATTATGCTGCAGTTTTTGCATCATTGATCACGTGTTTCTTGGGTTGCCCCTTTTACCTCAACGGTTACCACCAGCGTCTGCTTGGGCGGAGGATTTTTGGGCCCCACCACGGCGGGAAGGAAGCTTCAGGTTCACCCAGAACGTGCGACCGGGTCGTGATGGGCTCGGGGGAAAGGTCCTCCTCGCGGAAAGCCTCCGAGCTTCCCCGGCCGTTCTGTTCGTTGAAGGTCTTGAACTCCGCCGTGAAGAACTCACCCGTGGGAGTGGGCCTCGGGGGCTCGGTCGGCTCCGCCACAGGTCGGCTCGAAAGAAAGGAGGTTCCAAGCAGGGAACCGCTAAGAACAGCGGGCAGCTGGCCTCCGCACCATGGGAAGTTTGGGCAGCGAGTCTATTCCAAACACCTGGAAGCTTCAAGGATACTGTTCCTTTGCACCACCAAGGCCAAAAAGAAACCGAGCACGGCCTGCGGACGAGTCATGCGGACCCCTTTTAGCCAACATTCCAGGCTTAGTAAAGCGCAGGACTCAGTCTTCCAGCAGCCGAATCTAGATAGTGAAGATCAGGATCCCACTTCAACTAGACCCACAACCCCGTCCAGTCGCTCGCTGCTGCAACTGAGGCACACCGACCCCCTCCTTGAGCCGGGCACGTGCACCCCTGCGATGGCACCTGGGGCGCATCTCACACAGTCATGTCAAAGCCGAAACCGACTGTATGAACTGTATCTTCCATTCCAGAATTGCAGAGTTCAGAAAAGCCAATTGCACTCATCCATTGGCTGGCCAGAACAGAACCCAAGTTTATTCCCCTCATAACAGATTGGGCTGTCCTCAACTTCTGTGCTTGACTAAATATAATATCCGCCGACCCCTGCTTTGGCGAAGGCAGGGGCGGCGCCTGGGACCACCGAAGGTGTGGAACCTGAGCTCTCCAAATCCTTGCTTTTCTGGGCCCGAAATCAAACGCGCCAAAACTTCGCAGTTGCCAGACTGTGGGCGCAGTTGCCAGACGGTGGGCTCTGGGCTCTGGCCCGCCAAATCCTTTTTTCTAGTGGCCCGAAACTGCCCTTCAAACCCCTCAAACCCCCCGAAACTTGCCACCAATGGTTCTGCCGTACTGGCGGTTGGAGCAGCCAGCTTCTGGATGCTGGACGCTTCAGACGCTCCAAAACCTCGCACTTGCTAGACTGTGGG